CATTCACCATGTATGAAGTGTGGCCAAGGGCCAAACGGCATTTTGAAACCATCTCATGATTTTAAATTCTAAGTTTTCGTTTCAAACTTCATTTTTGGCATTTTGGCCGTTGGGGGGTCATATTTTGTATCGGCCATATTTTTGGGCCATGGACCATTGTAGCACATCTTAGTAGGTATGTTACGTTTGCGTGCATGGTCGTTTCCGGGCAAAGCTTTTTCTTTGGTGAAATGAGCCTCCTACGGACTCATTTTACACTTTTATTGCATTTTCTAACCTAAGGGTATTTTAAAAATTTTCCTTGGGAAATAAATTCCGTTCTTCACATGGTTGAATAGAAAATATGATTTTAGGGGAGGTTTCTTTTTCGTGTTTTTCCAGAAAATGCCATCTTGACATCGGAAATCGCATCCGAAATTCAGCTCTCAGTTTTTGGGTATTTCACATTACATATTTTTCGATTTTTCTCGTGATTCACATAGAAAGCTCAATTTTGAGGGGGGGTTTCTTCTTTGAGTTTTTTCAGAAAATGTCATCTTAGCCCACAATTTTCTATTTTTCCCTTAAAAACCCCTGCTGCCAGGTTTTTGGGCTGCCCATTCTGCCTCCTTCACATGTAAATGGTTACGAGGGGTTTCGTAACCGGTTACATGTGCATGGGCAGTGTGTTTCTCATGATTTTTGGCTTCCTAACCGGTTAGGAAGGTCTCCTAACCGGTTAGATGTTCTTGGTTGCCCTCTTTTGGACCGTTTTGCCCCTTCTTCTTCCGTAAGCCATATCTTCTTCATCCGGACTCCGAATTAAGCGATTCTTGAGTCTAAGTTCAATGATTTGTCGTTGTCTTTCCAATGGTGTTCTCGGTGGCACCCATTTTTAGGCTAGAAATAATGATTTTGCCCCTAGGTGCATTCTTGTCCGTTTTTGAAATGTTGTTTCCGCATTTGATTCCTTTGGGTCCCGTGTCTTAGAGTCATGTTGTATCTATAGAGATTGTTGTTTGTCTTTTGCTTTCGCATTTCGGATCCGTTATCGGATCATCTTTCGGTTCATCACTGACGCACCGGGTTGAAAAACTTGGGCCGTCACAATGTCAAACAGAGAAGATGACTGAAGGACTCTCACTGAAGGAACGTTGTCCTAAACATTCGCTTGAAGATACTCGAGCCTCAAATCTATAAATTTAGAGGTAAACAAATCAGTCTTGTAACCCAAAAAATCATAAATAAAATAAAAAAGCTTGATTACATAAACAAAACAAAAAGACTCGCCATCATCATCAAATAGAGGGACAAAAAGGGTGTAAAAGCTTGACCGAACAGGAAACTCCTAAAGAAACGAAGGGTGCCAGGCACCCCCAACCTTAACAATTTTCTCTTCCCACTCCTTATCGGAAGAAGTAAGATTGGAAAACAAAGCCCGATCCATGTGGGTATGAAAGTGATATCTCCCCTCTTCATCCTTAATCCTATTGAGTGAATAACTAAAGACGAGGTCGGCCAAATTTAGAGACAGCCCCCTGGCCCGATTTAAAGCCAGAAGACACGAAATGATGCGGAAGAAATTTGGGTTCACTTGAAAAGGGGCAAAATTAAGAACCGAGAGAACCCGAAGGTAGACGGGATTCAACGAAAACCTAAAGGTAGACAGATGATGAGCCGAGAAAAGCATCTCGCCCTCCTCAAGACCCATACCAGTACTGAAATTCAAATGGTGAGGGTACTCATCAACGACAACATCTACGAAAATTTTGTTTTTCTTCCTCAATTGAAGAACAAAAATGGATTTCCTCTCCACCACATCAATAGGAAGAACAATCGAGCCCTCAGCAGAACGTTGGCCACTTATGCTAACCTCAGGTGCCCTCGACTCAAATTCAGAAAACACTCAAGGTGCGAGTATTGCTCCGTTGACTCATAACTTTGAAAATCGAATGAGAAAAGAAAATGAAGTATAGAGGGAATAAGACTGACCTTTGTCAAATCGCTGCAAGGGAAGAGCTTCACAAATGCCAAATAACCATCTCAATGTACAGTCACAAGATGAAAATACATCATATATATAGACACAAGGAAAACGAACGTGCAGAGAGGAAAACGGCTACACGGAACTCCAAAGACGCAACCTCGGAAAAAGGCAATGATGAACGTTAACCTTCAGAAACCGCTCAACTTCCAAAGACAATTGCAATTCCTTATAAGAATCAAATTTATAAAAGGAATTAGGGGCAAAGTGTGGAGGGAAATTCTCCCATCACTCACAAAGCGCCACGTGTTAACAAATTAATTAAAAAAAACCCAAACCAAACAAGCAGGCTAAGGGAAAAAGCCCATTGCACGAAGACCCAGCAGGAAAAGGACCAGTACCCGAAATGGCCTATAGATTAAGACTTGCTCCAACAAGCTCAATCGAAGGGAACAACTGAATGCAGCTTGCAATAATGTCCGATAGTAAAATGTAAATCATTATGGAATTTAAGACCATATTTGTAATGGTCTATAACGGCTCCAAGAGAGCCTCATTGTAGCGAGTATAAATACAAAAGGTATGACTATAAGAAGGGCATCAGATTCAAGCTGTGATTAGCCCCTTATTCTTCCTTAATTTCATTTTCATTTTTCTTTTTCATTGAGTGTTTAATCTTTCGGGCCGAGTCACCAAATTCGGGCCGAAATTTTGTGCACCTACAGTGAGTGTATTTCTTATTAAAAAAAATTAAAAAAATAAATAATAATCACCTAGTTATAAAAACAACTATTTTTTATTTATTTTTTCAAGTAATTAAAAAAGTGGTGTGACATGTTTGACCTTTTGTATTAACTTTATTTTACTTTTTTATGCATCTTATTGTGATTTGCCAAGACTGTATAATAATTTCTGTTGATCTCTTAAAATGGTGAGTATATCAAAGTGCCTCATTAAGACACCAGATTGTTACATCAAAAAATGCATTTTCTTATTCTTTTTCTTTTTTTGGTAAATTTGTAATTTGTTTTTCATGCAAGCCTAATCTTGATGTACAAAAAAGCCAAACAATTAGTGACACTACCAAATGAGATATGGCAGTGTGAAAAACTCCAGCTGTCAATTATCTCTCCTCTCACGGAACCGCTTATTTTACTTATTTAAATACCTCCTATGTGCCTTCCCTAGCTACTTCTGTAATCTTCCTTAAATCTTTGCCTCTTTCTCTCTAATATATATATATATATATATATAATAAAGTTAGCTAGCAAGCAAAATTAGCATGAGAATGAGCTGCAATGGGTGCAGAGTCCCCCATAAAGGCTGCACTGAGATTGCATCCTCAAACCCTACCTCCAGTGGTACTTCCTCATCTTCTAAAATAGAAGACCAATGATTCAAGTCATATATACAAAGGCTAATAACAAAAATGGGGTTTTGTGCTATTATAAGAAAATATCACATTTATAGGTCACGTAATGACCTGTAAATGTGTGAGTGTGTTACATGTCAAAACAATAAAAATAATAACTCATCAAGTTAAAAAATAACTATTATTTATTTATTTTTCAAGTAATTACAAAAGTGTTGTGACCTATTTGACTTAATTCTTTTATCAGCTTTTTTTTTTTTTATTTTTTTTTATGCATCCTATTGTGATTTTCTAGGACCATATAATAATTTATGTTGAGCTCTTACAGTGTTGAGTATGTTAAAGTGCCTCATTAGGAAACCAAATTGCTAAATAAAAAAAATGTGTTTTCTTCTTCTTTTCTTTTTTTTGGTAAATTTGTAATTAGCTTTGCATGCAAGCTTAATCTCGATATAAGAAAAAGGCAAACAATCAGTGCCACTACTAAATGAGATATGGAAGTGTGAAAAAGCTCTAGTTTTCAATTCTCTCTCCTCTAATGAAACCGTTCTCCCTCTAATCACTTAAATACCCCCTCTATGCCTTCCCAAGCTATTTCTGTAATCTTCCTTAAATCTATGCCTCTTTCTTTCCATAATATGTGTGTGTGTGTGTGTGTGTGTGTGTGTCTATATATATAATCAAGCTAACAAGCAAGCAATATATATTATCAAGCTAACAAGCAAGCAAAATTAGGATAAGGATGAGCTGCAATGGGTGCAGAGCGCTTTGCAAAGGCTACACCGAAGACTGCATGCTCAGACCCTACTTGCAGTGGTACTTCCTCATCTTAGTAGAAGATCAATGATTCAAGTCATATAAGGGGTTTTGATATGACCAGAAATATATATATAAGGGATTTTGTGGTATTATAATAAAGTACATATATTAAACAAAATAAGAAAAAAAAAAAAAAAAAAATCAGGGGTTGTTGCTTATGTGAGTATTAGTTGCCTCCGTCATTTTTCAAGGCTATAACTTAGTGGAACTTCCTTATCTTCTAAAGTAGAAGAACATTGACTCAAGTCTCGTAAGAACCTATAAGTGTGTTCCTTGTCAAAAAAGTAAAAATAAAAACTCATCTAGTTAAAAAAACCAATTATTAGTTTTTTTTCCAAGTAATTAGACCGATTCACCTCTGGTACAAGCTTTATTTAATTTTTTTTTATATGTCCCATTGTGATATTCCAGGACCATATAATAATTTATGTTGAGCTCTTACAGTGTTGAGTATGTCAAAGTGCCTCATTAATAAACCAGATTGCTACATCAAAAAACGTGTTTTCTTCTTATTTTTTCTCTTTTTTTGGTAAATTTGTAATTAGCTTTGCATGCAAGGCTAATCTCGATGTAAGAAAAAGCCAAACAATCAGTGGCACTACTAAATGAGACATGGCAGTGTGAAAAAAACTCCAGGTTTCAATTCTCTCTCCTCTTATGAAACCGCTCTCTCCCTCTAATCACTTAAATACCCCGTCTGTGCCTTCCCTAGTTACTTCTGTAATCTACCTGAAATCTCTGCCTCTTTCTCCCTCTAATATATATATATATATATATATATATATATATATATATATATATATATATATATAATCAAGCTAGCTAGCAAGTAAAATTAGCAAGAGGATGAGCTGCAATGGGTGCAGAGCCCTCCGCAAAGGCTGCACCGAAGACTGCACCCTCAGACCTTGCCTCCAGTGGATCAAATCCCCCAACTCCCAAGCCAATGCCACTCTCTTCCTTGCCAAGTTCTATGGTCGTGCAGGCCTCATCAACCTCATCAATGCCGGACCTCAACATTTCCGCCCTGGTAGGTCAAACAAAGCAAACCTTATTTTATAAACGTTTCTTCCTCTCTCTATCTACAGGTACTAAAAAATTCAGAGATTGCGATGAAAGCTGAGATCAGGCGGTGAGAGCTGAGATCAACCCAATTGAGTTGATATAAGCCCTCCTAGTGTCCAGTAGAGTTCATCTCAGTCATCTCCATCTACACCAAGATAAGATGACAGAAATTCAGAGATTGCGATGAAAGCTGAGATCAGGCGGTGAGAGCTGAGATCAACCCAATTGAGTTGATATAAGCCCTCCTAGTGTCCAGTAGAGTTCATCTCAGTCATCTCCATCTACACCAAGATAAGATGACAGAGAAGATGCTGATATATATTTAAACACACACAATATCACATTTTGTTACAAAATGCTCCATTAAATATCACATTTTGTTACAAAATATCCTCATGTCTGAACTATTTTTCATTAAATGACCATAATTTCTTTTCTTATTAAATTACACTTAATCTAATTTTCTTATTGAAGTAAGTTATGAAACAAATTAATTCACACTCTTTTGATGACGTATTTTCAATTAAATTTTAAATCTTGTAATAAATTGTTTAAATAAAAACATTAAGTAGAAAATTTAAAATTTTAAGCAATTTTTTTATTTTTCATGAATATATTGCATGAAAAAAAAAGATATATTTTTTTTATTTAAGTAACTTATTAATTTTTTTTTAATATATTGTATAAAAAAAAGGAAATTCTTTTTACAGTAAAAAATTTCAAACCAAGTATAAGAAATTTTTTTTATAGATAGCAAAGTTTTAATAATAAGTCAATATTTTTAAAAAAATGGTATTTATAAATCTATTTAATCTTTCAATTGTTATGGTAAATTTATATTTATAATAAAATTAAGGTAAATGATATAATTAATATTTAGATAATAGAAAATTAATAAAGATAGTTTAATAAGGAATGACAAATTAAATAGAGATGATAAAATTATGGCAGGAGTTTGCAATTCAGTGGGTTATTTGTAAAAGTCTAATAATTCAGGTTTTTTATTTTATTTTTTCCCCTCACTTTATGCTTTAGTATTTCAATGACATTTCTTTCTGTAGGTTCTCTTAATAAAGCAATATAGCCCTTTCTCTCTCTATATACACACACCCACATAATATACTCCATGTTTGCACTACTTCAATTACAAGGGTTATGTTTGTAATCTTTTTTATTTTATATTTTTGTTAAAGAATTTGACCCTGAATTGTATTAATACAGCGATATTTAGGTCACTTCTATACGACGCATGTGGGCGGATAATTAATCCGATATACGGGTCTCTCGGGCTACTTTGGTCAGGAAATTGGCACCACTGCAAGTTAGCCGTTGATGCAGTGCTCCAAGGCTCTCGGATCATGCCACTGCCCATCGAAGATGCTACTGCTGCGTCCCACCCTGTCACGCCTATCAACGTCTCTGATATGCGCCACATTGCCAAGGAGTCCGGCGAGCTTCACCGGACCCGAACCCGGAACCGGTTCAAGCGCTCAGGTGACCGTGGCAAAGACCAGGTCGACCCGGTTCGGTTCTCAATCTCCGGTTGGGACGGCAATGTCATGGGAAGGTTGAACGGGGCTCCGAGAATTGACTCGTCGATGTTTTCTGTTGAGAAGATGAAGAACCGGACCGAAACGGGTCGGGCTGTGAAGTCCGAGAACCACGGTGAAGAAAGCGAGGTGGGTTTGGAACTCACTCTTGGCTTCAATCCGGTGTTGCGCACCAACCTGTCTATGCTGGACTCAAATGTGATCAACGTCCCTGATAGTGACTGAATCAAGGGCTAGATTGATCTGAGGACTTCTAACTTGTTTTTGCCGTTTTTTAAAGCATAGTTTTTTTTAGATGTTAAAGTAATATGGGGTATGTTTTGGTGTATCTTGAGGACAGAATAGATGGTATATGCACTAGTACGTGATGTTTTTAATGTAATTTCATAATGAAATCATCACACATCACTTTCGTTACACCAAATTCATGAGACCCTTTTTAATCAGTTGTTTCTTAGCCCAGTGTAAACAAAATGTGGAGTGGCCAGCCTTGGAAGATCGTAGCCAGTCAAATAAATTGGCGTGGGCGCTCGCCAATGGGCAGCCTCTCCATACCAAGAAAAGTTGCAGATTCGCCGTCACTCAAAATTGTGACTCCGACTAGGACTGTAACCAATTCAGTCTCAATCCAAACTTAACTCGAATCGGGTTAGGTTGGGTCAATTCGAATTATATTTAATATGGGTTATGGTTATAATTCGAACCGAATATTTTTGAACGAGTTGGATCGGGTTGACGGGTTGAATTTTTTAATTTCTTTTTTTTTTTTTTAAATTTATATATATGCTATATATATAATATATTATTAAATATATATTTGACTATATTATTATAAAAAAACAAAATATTTTTAGGGCAAATCATTTCAGCCTTTTTATCGCCTCCATCTCTAATTCTCTGTGAGAACTTGCCCTCTCTCTTTCCAACTGCAAACTACAAATCTACAAGAATAAGAAGTTCAAAACCCATATATTTCATTTTTATCTATCTGTCTGCAAGAATCAAAAGTTCAAAACCCATATCGGCATTTTCATTTCAGATTGTTCAAAAAATCAAAACCCAGATCTTTCAGTTTCCATCGCCCGCTGTTCCAGTTCGGGTTTGTCGTTCGCAAGCTTAAAAAAATAAAGAAACCCTCACTTCTATGCATTTTCCTATATTTTCTTTTCTTTGGTGGATGGAATTGATTAAGCCGCTGCCAATGTGCTTGTACGAAAAGAGTAGTCTTGGGCTTTGTTTGGAGAGGTGGATTTTTTCTGTTCTTTCCTGGAAGTTTTCATGGATGAAGACAGGCTTCGATTCTTCTCTTCGGCTTCATCTTTCTCGATCTGTTTTTGTCTGCGCTCTTCACTACAAAATGGTGTCCCCTCTGCAAAATCACAACAGTATAAAAAAATTACGGTCAGTTATGACACACATATTGATATTGTTTGAATGAATAAAGAAAAATGCATTAAACCCATTTAAGTTTAGTAATCCATTACCCCAAAGATTTTTTTTATAAAGTTTAGTAATCAATTAATCATGGTCTGTTAGAGGGGCGGCGGCGGCAGCAAAGGGGACGGCAGAGAGAGAAAGATAAAGGAGAGAGAGAGAGAAAGAAGAGGAATGAGAGAGAAAGAAGAAAAAAATTAATTAATTTTTTTTTTTTAATTTTGGGTTTCGGGTTGGATTCGGGTTGAGTCCGAGCTCAACCCGAATATGACTGGATTTTGACAAAATCTAATCCGAACATGAACCCAATTTGTAAAGTTAAAGTCCAAATTTCAAAATTTCAACTTGCGCTTGGGTTGGGCTGGATTAACCCGCTCAAGTTGCAGCCCTAGCTCCGACTACCTCTATGATGTTTTTTCTCTCCCTCTTTTTCAAATTTAGGAGTCCAACAAATATTTAGTCAAATCTTTTATCATTGTACCATCCAAATGTAATAATTATATTTACAAAGACCCACTTCAACTAATGTGATTCTTTATCATTGGTTGTTGTAAAATATTTACAATTGTTGTAAAATATTTACGAATAATAAAAATAAAATAATTAAATTAAAACTTAAGAAATATAATTAATTTATTAATTTTTAATAAATTATTTTACAAGTCTCGCCTATAGATTTAATCTCAACTTCCATCTATATCTTTGCCAAACACCGAAAAAGAAAATATTTTACTCTAAAAAATTTTTTTTTTCAGGAAGTTTTTTATACCGAAAGAAACAATTCTTATCATTGAAATTTAAGTACCAACCACCTTAAAATCATCAAAAATTTGCAGAACTTAAATCTATTGTCTATTTCCATTCTTCATAATTAATCTCATAGATGAGAATAAAACACATTATAAAATTACATAAAAATTGACCAAACTTCATTGAATGCTTTGTTTGTTTGAAAATAATTGATCATGAGATATATATATATATATAATTTTTTGTAAATAATTGTATTGTAATATGGTATTTTATATTTATGGAGTAGTTTTTAATTTTTTCCATGGTCTTTTCCATCTATTTGTGGAGAGATGAAAAAATATAGGAATTACTTTCTTTGGATTAAATGATGAAAACTTCCTCTATCCTTCTTTTCTTTAAACCACCGTTCTAGGGTTTCTTTCTCACCCTCCAAACAAACCTCCATTCGCTGCATTTCACAAACTTTTTCTGCAATGGCCACAAGGTTCTTGTTTTCAAGAACGATAACCCAAAGCCTTTACCAAACTCTCCATCATAGTCGTTGCAATGACACTCCCATTATCTCAAAGTTCCTCAGAACCCTTCACTCTCTGGTTTCCACGGAATTCCAATTCCATCCCTCAAATTGCAGGGCCATGTCCTCTTCCTCCAACTACGAACCCGAAGATGCCGGAGCATCTGTTGCCGCTGCGTTAAATCTCGATAATCGGGTTCCGGCCACCGTCATCACCGGCTTTCTGGGTTCTGGAAAGGTTAGATTTTTCTGTTTTGAAAGCATTAATATTGTTATTATTCTGATTATTTATTTCATATTTTGAGTTTGAGGATTTTGGGGCCATTTGTGATTTCTTTGTGGCTTCTGAGGAGAACTGTGGAAAAGAAAAGATATATAACAATTTGTTGGTTATATGTTATCTTTGTATCAAAACAAAACTCTGGAACTAAGCCAATAAATTTATTAGGCTCTTGAGTTTGAGGATTTTGTGGTCGGTCCTAATAATGAGTGTTTTGATATTGGTACTACATTAAATAAGAACATTTTTATCAAAGGCATTTATAATTACATCTTTTTCCTGAATTGTTTAATTTGAAATCTAAGTAGAATTATTTACTATTATTACTATTATTGTGAATATTATTAATTATTCAGATGAAATCAGTAAATTCGCGAAAATGAACTCACATGTGAAAATATTTGTAAATATGTAAGTATTCAGTTATTTTTGTATGCATGTTCTGTTTTTGATTTGCTTTTCAAGGGGACAAGTGTAAATTTCAGATGTAAAAAAATAAAGAAATTGCACATATGTTGATGTATGTATTTATGCTAGGTAAAGAGACTAGATTAAGCTTTGGCATGATATAGGTTGTGCTATTGGTTTTTGAAAGATATGAAAGCTTTCATGCACTAATTATTGTTAAAAATGTCCATTTGGGACCAATTATTGAATTTTGCTTCTATTATTCTTAAAAATCTTGCTTACATCATTCGTATTGTGGCAGACCACTCTGTTGAATCATATCTTGACATCTCAACATGGGAAACGGATCGCTGTCATTGAAAATGAGGTATTAAGGTCTACCTGTCTTGAGGCTCTGAATTTTGGGCTACTGCTTTGAGTTTTATTGGAATATACATGTCTATGTCTCTCTCTCTCTCTCCCTCCCTCCCCCCCTGCCTGTAGCAATTTCAACTATTTATGTATATTTTGTTCCCCCGCCCCTCTAAGACTTGTTGAGCTGAACAATATCTTTTCTTGCTACTAGCTTTGATGTTTTTTTTTTTCTTTCCTAAATGGAGGAAAGTTTTTATGAATATAAACAGTATAATACAAGAGAAAAAGTGGGGGCCTACCCCATATAAGACAGAAAAATCCTTAAAGGAAAAGAATCCTAGGACAGGCCCTTGGAAACAAGCTAACTAGTTAATAAAATCAAGAACATCGTGCAGGCAAACCCCCACAATGTCCATCACTTCCCACAGAATACATTTAGCCAATTCAGTTGAGTCTTTGGACTTATTGTTGTGTAGTTTATCATTCCTTTCCATCCAAAGAAAACGCAATGCAGCAGTGAAGAGAATTTTGAACATTTTGTTTCTGATTGAGCTCCCTGAGAATTGTTCAGTAAGATCCTGAGCCATATCATTAATTGAAAAGTATCTCTGTAAATTCCATTGGCAAACAGATGACAGGTTCAACCACACCTGCCAAGCAAACTCACAATAGCAAAAAAGGTGGTCCACATCTTCTATGTTTTTATAGCACAAACAACATCTTGAGACCAGAGATATCCCTCTTTGTTGAAGATACAAGTTGGTAAAGATTTCTGTAACACCAAAACAGTATGGGTTGACCATCTAGGTCTCCCCCCATTCCAACATAACTCAAACCAGTAAACCTTCTGTCTTTTTGACCCTGCATGCATTCCATACAAATTTAAATGTGAACTGTTTGGAGTGCCATCCAAACTTATCATCTCCCCCATGAATAGGTTACTGAAGGAGATATTGAAGCACCCTATTGGTGATGTTGTCAAACTTGGACACATCCCACTGGCCTGCTGCAATAAATTCTCTTAAACAAAACTGTTTAATGGTTTTATTTTAACTGATTATAGATTATAGTAGGTTCTGGTCTTGAATTTGTTTAATGATGGTAAACATAAAGCTTTGCATTAAACACAACATGCTTCATTGCTTTTCAACCTTTGATAAATTATTCATAAAACAAATTTCTTCCTGTTGTGGTCTGAAACAAAATTAAGGAAAAAGAGAAAAAAAAAAAAAAGAAAAAAAGAAAAAAGGATGTCTCATGTGCCCGGGAGCTATACAAAAAACAAGAAGGTAGAGATAAAGAAATTAATGGATGAGTCTTATGGCCCCCCCTCCCCCTCGGTTTGAACAGCTTTTCTAATACTTGATGGTTGTGACATACAGTGACGGAACCAAAAATTTATTTCAGTGGGGGTGACTTTGAATTGTAAGGAGATAAAAAAGAAAATTCACCTAAATTAATATTTAACTTAATTGTACATTGGTAATATTTTCATAAAATTCATAACAATTGTCCTCAACTAGTTTCATGAACCTTACAAGACTGCTAAATATATCACTAAGAGAATTAACTCGGTGGTATCTCCTCTACCTCTCAAAGTGAAACGTTTTGAGTTCAAGTCTTCATAAGGTTAAAATGTGTACCAGATTATTTTCATGGATAAAAAATCAACAATGCTAAATTTGTATGTCTCAATCTCTACGTGATAGTCCTAATTAGTAGGATCAAAGGCAAGGTCACAAGCAAATAAACTAATAAATATACTTTGTCTCTTTTCATCTCAACCATAGATTATTAGGACTTCTCGTACCATCTTTAGACTAGCACTTCTTCCATGAAGAGATAATTTGTCAATGAAAAGAATAGAAAGAAAATTATTTTTTTAGTTATTCAAAGAGCGAGTCATGGATGGTGGAGGGAGGGATAGTGGTAGAGAACAGTGACAACAGCCTTTTAAAGTATATAAAAGGCGTGGCAAGGAGGGTTCTAAGGGTCAAACCTTAATTTGGCATATGCTAGACGATGGGGGTCCAGTTGGAGTCTTGCATAATTAGGGGGTTTGGTCAAATTTCATTATTTTGGTAATTGCATCAATTAAGTTATTTGTTACTTTATTAAGTTAGAGTCAACTTTTGATTACCTTGTTTTGGTAAATTGCATAATTAGATTAAATTGCATCAATTAAGTTATTTGTTACTTTATTAAGTTAGGGTCAACTTTTGATTACCTCCATTGTAGGGTAATCCAAGGGTCATCTTTTATTATAAAAAGGATACTATGTAACTCTGAATACTCAGCGAATGATTAAATAAAATTATCCTTTGAGATTTCTTTGTGAGTGATTCACAAATTCGGAGGGTGTGAGGCCTTCTCTAGGTGTGACACGTAGGTCCTATTGGAGTGATTCCAATAGGCTTTTCTTTGTTAATTTCAATCCTTCTTTTCTACTAACAACCCCCGAATCTTAGCTTCGTTCCTGAATTTCTAGCCCATAACTCTTATTTACTTTCTTCTATTTGAGCCTGTCCTTTGTCCTACATCAGTTTTTGGTATCAGAGCTTTAGTTGACATCATGTTGACACAATCAGGAAATGAAAGATCGGGTATTAATCAGCAAGATGAGCTGATATCCAAGCTTGTAGAGTAGCTCAATGGGTTGAATGTCCGATACAATGAGTTAGAAGCTCGAATGTGTCAGCCTATTAACAATTTTGCTCCTGCTTCATCTAGTACAAATGATGGCAGTGGTCGAGAGCAACAACATCCTTTAAATGTGTAGCAAAGGCAGAATGTGAGGGCTGATCCACCACCACACCTAATGTTCGAGTTCCGAGAAATTTGCTGGGAATGAATTATCATGTGCCACATGATAACGCTGGGGATATCACAAAGAAAATTAAAATAGAGGTGCCAGATTTTGAAGGTAAGGTTGATCCTACTGTATTTTCGGATTGGCTTGCTTCGATTGAAGAATATCTTGATTGGTATGATATGAGTGATGATCGTAGAGTGAGAGTTGCTAGAATGAAGCTTGTGGGCCTAGCAAAAATATGGTGGACTGGTGTTGAAGGGGATATTAGGAGGCTGGGACAACCACCAATTAGCACATGGCAAGAAATGAAGGCAAAGCTTCGAGAGAAATACATGCCGGCCAATTACCATGACAAATTGTGTGATCAACTTATCAATCTAAAGCAGGGCAGCATGTCAGTTGCGGAATATATGCAAGGATTTGATGAGTTAAAGACTAGAAGTCAAGTTGTGGAAGACCCGCGCCAAACACTTGCAAGATTCAAGGCTGGTCTAAGGTCTGGTATCAGAAAGAAATTGCTTCGCCAGTCATTATATGGTGTTGAACATGCTTTTCAGGTTTCATTGGACATGGAGGAGTACTTGAGTTATCAAATGGCTCGAAGATCTGGATATCAAACCTGGGAGGCAGCACCCAATAAGTCCAGTGGTGGAAATCGCAGCACACAATCAGTAACAACGCAGCCGAATGGTGGAAATGCTGGATCAAAACTGCCCTTTTCTAACATAGCTGATCCTAAAGGGAAGAGTATTGTGGCCAACAAAGGTAGTGGAAGGAGTAACAAGTGCTTCAAATGTGGAGAAACAGGTCACATGGCATACTAATGTCCAAAGAAAAATTTACACATTGGAATAATGCCTGAAGAAGAGCCAGAAGAAGAACATGGGGGAGAGGGCAAAGGGAACATGTTTGACTATGGGATCTACAACCCTGATGATCTAGAAGAGGATGAAGATGTTCCATCAATCTCCGTTGTGAGGCACATCCTTGCAGCCCCTAAAGTTGACGATGAAGATTGGCGACGCACATCTATTTTTCAAATATTAGTTCGTTATGGGAATTAAGCTCGAAAGGTCAATTATTGATAGCGGAAGTTGCATGAATGTTGTGTCTGTAGCCACGGTTGAGCGCCTCAAGCTTTCAGTCCAACCATATCCACAACCATTCAAAGTTTCTTGGATAGATAGTACTTTTATTCTGAATCTTCCAAAAGATGTGGCTATTGGAGAAGATACTTGGTGTATATTAGTGGGCACTGCAAAGAAATGGGAGCAGGCTTGTGCCAAGAAGCAACAGAAGCTGGTTCAGATATCCACCAACTTGGTAGATGAGGTCTGGAAAAACCAACTGCGGGAAGAAACTAATCCTGTAAGTGATAAGCTAGAGGGGTCTCGCGCATCAAAAGATCATTTTAGAGGGTTAAGTTTTCCTACTATTTCCTCGGTTGGTCCTAATGCAGCAATTATGCATTATAAACTAGAGGAGAAAACATGTTTAGGACTTGATCCAAACAGCATTTGTCTATTCGATTTTGGAGCACAGTACCTAGATGGAACCAACTGGGTTGCTCTTTATGTTCTTGCTCAAATACATTCGTGGAAGGATAGCCTTGAGTTTCAACATGGTACTGACTATGGAGTTCGTATCAGAGGTGATGGGTCAGATGCTAATTTTGTTATGGGGTTGCCTAGAACTAGTCGAGGATATGATGCTATAACCATTGTTCTGGATCTTTTTTCGAAAAAGGCGCATTTTCTTCTATGTTCTATGATCTCCAATGCTGTCCACAATGCCAAACCTTTTTTTCAAGAAGTTGTCTGACTTCATGGGTTGCACAATACTATTATTTATGATCGAGCTTTGAAGTTTATGTATTGTTTTTTGGTGCAGATTATGGAAATTGCTGAATACAAGGCTGAAATTTTCTTGCTCTTTTCATACTCATGAGCAATTTCATCCCTTTAACTCGTCGGAGCCGAGTTTTTCCAAGCTGGAGAGAATTGGTAGAGAACAGTGACAGTAGCCTTTTAAAGTATATAAAAGGCGTGGCAAGGAGGGTTCTAAGGGTCAAACCTTAATTTGGCACATGCTAGACGATGGGGTCCAGTTGGAGTCTTGCATAATTAGGGGGTTTGGTCAAATTTCATTATTTTGGTAATTGCATCAATTAAGTTATTTGTTACTTTATTAAGTTAGAGTCA